ATTGGTGACGTTGCGATTATAAAGTGCGAGGAGAAGAATCGACGCAAGTGGAAATTTGGAATTGAAGAGCAGTTAGTAACAGGAAATGATGTTGTTGTACGTGGAGCAAAGCTGAGAGTTGCAAAGAGTATAACGAACGGCCCCTCCAATACTGAATCTGATTTAATTATCTTACGACGTAACAAAGAAGCATGAAACTACCCTCGGACACTGATCTGATGTAGATTCCCGTGAATTTAAACTAAAGAGAAATGCCGCAAAAGTTGCAGATAGTCGGGTACAAGACCAAGTAGAAGAAGAAGACCAGGAAAAATAAGGAAGGAGAGTAATTCTTTCAAACCTTAGGACATTATTATTTCCTAATATAATTAATTTTTATATTGTTTGTTATAAAGGTAGTTTTCTAGTAAACGATTTGTGTTTATATAAGGGAAAACGAGTAGAGGAGAGTGTAGGGAACTGGGACAATTTGAATTACGTAATCACATAGTTGATGATTAGTTGGGTGAAATCACGTGAATAAGGGGTATATTACAGACTATATTCAATAGGGATGGACAGTAATTTTGAGACGTCAGTCGATGTGAAACAGTGATAAATAAAACATAACAAAACTTGTGAGTGTGTTGGCCATCAACTTAGCTTCTATAACGTTCCCAACACAGGTAAAGCCCAGCAAGACCGGGTTGTATCGAGATACAAACCAGCAACACCGGACAGCATTCAGACACAGCCACGAAGCATGGGGGTCGCAGGACTGCATATAAATACATTTCATGAATTTATGCAGTTACGTCAAATACAACCAGCGGACCATCAAAGCAAAACGACTCTATCTTATAATAATATTACATAAATAGATGATTATATTTATAATCGCTGATTTTTATTCATACACATATAAATATTGCTTTTTATGACCGAAAAAGAATGTTAGAATAGATCCAGAAAAGACGCTTTATGACTTTAATATCGATACTCATGATACTTATGTTTTTATAGAAAGGCGACGACATGAGAAAAATTACAGATGCATGATCTTGAAATCTTCAAGATTTAAATTATATCTACTTTTAATTTATCGTAATAAGTTATCAATTAACTCAATGATTATTGTCGTATTTTGTCCATACAATTTTTATTGTGTAGTATATGTAAATAAAAAAATCAAAATCTTGCTCACAAATACAGAAATACAAGTTCGACATTGCCGTATTAATGTCTTTTTTAATAGTGTTCAGACTTACCTTTCTTACTTGTTGCAACAAGATTGAAAAGAGGCTTCTGTCTGCTATTCTTTCTTTACTAGCTGTTTAATAAATTTACTCTCCAACTGCTAGAGTTATCATTTCAATAACTCTTACTTTTTAGTACAAGGATTACACGGAAACTTTGCAGTATTGTGGTGTGTGGCAAAAGTTTGTATAAATGAGTAAGTCCGTGTCAGTGATGAAAAATTTCCGTGGGATGTCTAGCATCAACGCTGATTAAAAGTTTCATTATTTTTAGAAACTTAATATCAGTGCTAAGAAATATCTAAATGCGCACGTACTACTTTTCTACGAACTAAAAGGCTTGAAATAGCAGCTATAATGAAATTGCTATAAACATCAAATGTTGTAGAAAGTTCATTAATGCAGAAAAATTGCGCTTTTATACTGTGACGCTTTTCGTTAGTGTTGGCATAATGTTAACATTCTGAAGTTTTTGTCAGGCTTCAGTTCAGATTGTTATGAATTCTGGAGCATCTACTCTCGTATACTAGGTGTTGATGAGATGGTCTTGGACAAAGGACAGTGAAATTGAAAGTGAGGCAAATATCTGGCTTCGTATGAAACATTAAAATTTAGATTTATAATGTTTTGCTTATGACTGAAAGTTAAGCAATATATTGAATACACAGACTACAGCTGACACAAAACAGATGCTACAGTACCATTTATAGATATGAAATTTAAGGTAGTCAACCCCCTTTGATGGTTTTTTCATAATTTCCATTAAATAAAATGAATTTTGCCATCTTGTCCAAGGAATCGACAAGAAAAACAACTTACAATAAAAATTTTCACATTCTCATTATAAAATTACACTAATATTCATGAGGGCCTGCTAATTAGCAATAACGTGTGAATATCGTGGTATCGAAAAACCTAGCATAGGTTTTGAAAGGCCCAGCACAGGTATTGAAAAACATTTGCTATGACAAACCCTAAAAACATTCTCGTTTTTCATATGAATTGTAAAAATGTAGTAAAGTCATTCGTTATTATTGCATCCTATTTTTTTCGTGTTTTACCATTTACATATGAGATATTGTAATTAACGTTTGTTGAAAGTGTAAACGGTTGGTCATTTTGTGTTGAGAGTTGTCTACCTTGTCATAATATAACACCTTTGACCACACATACGTGGAAGTCACGCGAGATCGCGTGCGTGACAAATATTGCACATTAAGAAGCTGCAGCCAGCAGTGTGCAATATTTAAAATTCTTTATGTTATCATCCACGTAGACATTAAAATTCGGAAATATTTTTCTGGCGATATATGATCACGATATCAAGAAATATTCCTTCATCTAATACAACGGTAAGATAAAGATTGTTTATCCTGAGATGGCGACTCGAATTAATTTTAATTTACGTATCTAAGTAGAACAAAGACAGTTTTTCATTTAAAATTTAATTAAAACTTTGACTAATGTAGGTATGATTCGACCTTAAAACTAGTTTGCTTTGTTATTCTTGATAAGCATTTAAACATGGTTATTGTCAAACCATAAAATACAACAAACATAAACGAGATATTCAAGCTAGATTTCAAACTTTGTATAGGAAATGAATATAAGTGAAGCAGAACATTAAATCACTGTGTTTAACATGATTTGTTCTTGTTCGAAAGTTATTTTTGTCATCGTTTAATCTTAAAATGATCGTTGTCAAAGGTTTTACAACTCACTTAGTTATGTACATCAACATATTTTGAACCTTTGATATGATAAAACTTGTTTTTTGATATGTGATGATTTGCCACTGAAATAACATACTAAAGTCAATATTTTATATGTGTTCTTTATCTTTTATAACTGATCAATGATTGTGGACAATGTGTGGTTGCTAAATATATTTTTGTTGCAAGATTTATCTATTTACTTGGATTCATTCATGTACAAGAAGATCAATAATTGTTGGGTGGGACTCATATTAATTTATGTATATGATATGTTGTATTAAGTTTTTTCAAATACATTGTTTTGTATGAATTGTAATGTACATTTATGATTATAATCCCACTAATTATCAATCTTCCAATGCCCACTCATGGATTTTTATTCTTTAGATCTAGCAACTTATTTCATGTAGTTTGGACTATTTTTTCTTTGAATAGTAACCTAATCAATGAAAAATGGTTTTGGTCATAGGCGTACAGATTCTTACATCTTTTACACAATTTTTGATCAACTCTCATAAAAATTATGTCCACCAATTTTTCATTGGTTTTCTTATTACAATGTTTTGTTGACCATTTTTATTGCTTTCATCACTTTTGTTGACTTCATGACACACTCCCTTTTTTAGCAAGAAAAACTGTGGCAGGACTGTAGGATAATTGTTAATTTGGAAATCATATTATGTATGCATAATATAGGCTACATGTGTTAGGTTTCTTTGAAAACCATTATTGTCTAGGGATCATTCATCGAAATGTTTATGTCACCCCAACCACAGTATAGAGAATATACAGTAGGATCACTTTCTGTGCAACTTACTGCTGTATATATAATTATATTACTGGGTGTAGTTTGCCAGCTCTGTGATCCTATTAGTCAAAAAATGGTAGTGTCTGACTGACACTATGAGAATCACATGCATAATAAGATATTCATGTGATTACCTGATATAATATTTAGCTCTGCTATGTATTTTTTTTCTTTTTTATATGAAAATAATAAATTTCTAAATAATGTTATCATTCTTTGTTTTTGTTAACATTTTAACTTGCAAGTCTTAACCATAGTTTTTATGTACGTTGTACTTCTGGTTGCAGTTGCATGAAGCGTGGATATCATTATTCCTTAGGAGAAAGAAATTTTGTAATCTTGGAAGCAGTATTTTATTTCAATGATTGCTCAGTTCAAATCCTATATTTTTCCCTTTTAAGAGATTTTGTAAAAATTTAAAACATTTTGCTATCCAATGGATAATGATATTCGGCCTTTGTGTAACCAGTCCCAAGTTTTCCATTGTAACCACAATAAATTTGTACCATGGAAGTTTTACCTACTTTTTTACTAAAGGTAGCGACATGGAGACTGTCTTGAGCTCAGACAAGAAAACTAATGGTTTTAAGTTGATGAGATTAATTGTTGATGTTGGTGGAGAAGCTTTAAGAATAACATTGAGGAAACAACTGTCAGGTACTGATTTATTTAATGTTTTAAATGATCCCGAAAATGCGCAACTACTTTCAAATCTAACGAATAGACAAATCAATCCACATCAGTGGGATCAACTGTATCCAGATCCTCCAATATTACCAAATGAAAATAAGTTTGACATTACTTTACTTTGTATTCTCCTGCGTAATATTTGTGGTTTAAAACCACCACGTGATCCAATATGGACGTCAGTAAATGTCCCCACTGATCATTCAACTGAAGCAGATATTACCCGTATCAGGTTATTTCGTAATGATCGTTTTGCTCACTTGCCTGACACTTCAGTAAGCTTTGATGAATTTGAAAATCATTGGGTGGAAATAAGCAAACCATTAGTTCGTTTAGGAATAAGTCAGGAAGAAATAGATTGAAAAATGAGTTGTTTGGTAATGAAGAATGTGAAAGAATTGTGAAAGAATGGGACGAATTCAAATTTGATGTACATAATCGTTTGTGTGTAATTGAAAGTAAACAAGAAGAAATGAAACGTCACCTTGTAAGTTGCAACTTTGAAAGTGAAATTAGACATCATAATGAAAAATTTTTTGAGGGAACTCGGGAATGGGTTTTTGATGAGTTTTTAGCTTGGTTTGAAGACGACAGTTCTCAAAATCGTGCATTTGTTATTTCTGCTGTTGCTGGTATGGGTAAATCTGTAATTGCAGCTACTTTATGTAAACGTTATCCACAATATTTGACTGCAGTTCATTTCTTTCAACACAACAACAGTCGTTACAATAAAGCCAATGTACTTCTTCAATCTTTAGCGATGCAAATTAGTCGTAAGTTTACTCCTTACAAACAACTTCTTGTGAAAAAACTTTCAGGTCAACTCTCTGAGCCTTTGAATAACATGAATGTTGAAGGATTATTTTCCCTTCTTTTTACTGAGTTATTTGTTACAATTTCGGAGTTTCCTAAAGGAATTCTCGTGGTGTTGGATGCTCTTGATGAATGTGGTTATCCAGAAAGGGATGACCTTGCTAATTTGATTGCTAATCACTTACACAAACTTCCGCCTTGTTTTCGCTTTGTAATTACAACAAGACCTAACGAAGTAGCTTTAAATAAGTTCGAAAAATTAAATCCACTGTTCATTAATTGTAGCGATGATCGCAATTTACGGGATATTAAATTCTTTATTGAACAAAGAATTGGCGCTACTGACAGCTTTCCTGATTTTAAAAATATTTTGGTAGAAAAAGCTGACGGACTTATGTTGCTTGCATCCCTTCTTATCAGTGAAGTCAAAAATCAGGATTTGTTGAATGCGTCCATACCAAAAGATCTCAGTGAATATTACGAAATTTGCTTAACACGATTAAGTAAGGAATTGAATTCGTTTCATATCAGTAACGAAAAGCTTCAGTCAATTTTAAATACTCTGGCTGTTGCTAAAGAACCTCTTCCTTGGAAAATGATCGATGATGTTCTTTGTTTGAATTCGAATCGCATATCACTTGGGGTTAGAAAAATTATCTCTTGTCTGTTTGTTAGCAATGAAGAAGGATGTGTTTCATTTTTTCACAAATCATTAAACGATTGGTTGTTGGATGATCGAGAACATGAGTACTCAGTAAAAACATCTTGTGGTCATCAACTTGTTTTACAATTTTGCTTAAAATCTTTGGATAACCTCAAAGCTGAAGGTGTAAACTATGACGTCATTAAACATGTGACAGTGATGTATTCAGTCAAGTATTGGTTTCTTCATTTACTTGCTATTTCTGATAATGATTCTATCATTGAAAATGTTGGTAAATATCTTGTTGACTTGGAAGTTTTAGTTGCTTCTATGTTGGTCGATGGTCGTCGTACTTTTGAAAATTTTAAATTATTCAACGCACATGATGTGTACTTAAATATTTCTGAGGACATTCGATTATTATTTAATGAAGTTTATTCTGTAATGACGCACCCTAGGCACTTTAGCAATGCAGTAATTTTTTTACAAAACGTTGCCTACAAAGTCAAAGATCTGTCGTCTCAAGCCACGACAATGCTTCAAACACGTTTCAAAGATTCACCATATCTAGAGTGCAGAGACACGGGTTTTGTAAAGGCTCGATTCTTACGTTTGAATGAATATTTAAACTCTGTTGATGTTTCACGAAATCATGATTACGTCGTCTGTGGTTATTTAGGATTCGTCGTGCAACTTTTTTCATTGAGAACAAACAGATGTTTATGGATAAAGAATATTGTTGGTCAGTTTAAGCAATATGAAGAGGAAGAACTTTGCGTTGTCTTTCATCCATTCCAAGATTTGATTTTTGCTTCCCAGCTTGATAAAATACTAGATATTAATGGTAAAATTTCCTCCAGTCCGTTCCATTGTGATGATTTTACTTCTAAGTTATTTACGAACAAATGTTTTTCTAAGGATAAGTACACAATGGTCACTAGTTACAAAGATACTTTGACAGTATGGGACGTTGAGAAAGGTGAGAATAAACGCAGTATTAGATGTAATAATGTGACCGCACTATGTTTTTCTAATTCTGGAAGATATTTGTGTGTTATTGAGGAAAAAAAAGTGTTTCACATATTTGACGTAGTAAATAATTATGAAACATTCGTTTACGACATTCATTTGCCGTCTGGTTTTTTAATTGATTTTGCTGTTGTGTTCACTGTTGGTCTTCATTCTTGGTGTTGTTGGTCTCCTTCCTTCCAGAAAGAACCTTTCATTGTAGATCCCACTGGTGAGAAACTTCCTGACTTAGATCCTGATTTCCAAACTTCGCTTTTTCCTCTTGATCCTTTCGATGACAACAGATCTAACTTTTCTTTTATTAGAGGAAGAAATTATTATTTTATTTTGAACAACGACAATGTCCTTTTGTTTGAATACGGACTTGAGTTTTATCTTTATTCAATACAGCGTGCATGTTTAACTAACAGTTACAGTTTTTATTACGAGAAATTTTGCTCAAATGGAAAATTTCTTTATCGGAGCAATGGAGAAGAGTGAAGGATATGTCTATACAATCTCAACACATTTGACTTTGTTGTCAAGGAATGTTTTTTTAGTGAAATGGTTGCTGTAGAAAATGGAATTATTTTGCTTACGGCAAAAAATATTCCTGAGCTTTGGAATAATGATTTGACAAAACTTGTTTATAGTTTCGATGAATTAAAAGGTACAAACAAAATTTTTGAGGTGAGTGATGTATCATTTGCTTGTCAAAAAACTGATTCTTTTGTGTTTTTCAATGTTGAAAACAAGCGAAAGGAAATATCTGTGAATTTTGAAAATTATCAAAATGTGCACGTATTTGCATGTAGCTCTAAGTATCACGTGTTTTCTAAAGTTGAATTTAAGGATGAGATAATTTACTGTATGTGGCATGAAGACTAACTTGTTAATGGTTGGGATGACGTAATTGAAAAGCACATAGGTGTCTTTACTTGCCCTAGAACTTACGCAAAATTTTCACCTTCAGCAGATAATTTAGCAATAGCTTACAAGGATAAGTATGTGAAAGTATTTGACGTTAAAAACATACAAATTATTTATACTTATACTGAGCGTTTATTGCGGGGAGAGTTTTTCTTTGTTGATGATAGGTATATAATTAGTGATCGATTAACTTTGATTGATTTGAAATATTTTAAAATTGTAGAATTCTTTGACCCGCGTATGTATCGAAAAACTTTTTATTACTGTCGTAAACGCAAACTTGCTTTAATTTTCTCCTCCTTAAAGGTCCCGGTACATTGCGTAAAAATCATCTTGCCACGAGAGTAAATTTGATCTTTCCTGATAAAATTTCTCACCTTTTTGGATATTGACTATATTATCTTTACGAAAATCGTGTTTAGATTTATGCATGATCGCTGTCATTGTCGACATTTCAATTAATGTCTGTTTGCGTATGATTTCATGAAACGACCTTTGTCTAATTTTGATTGTTCTGTACAGAGACCGCAGTGTGCGATACTGTAAACATTGAGAGAGATCATGTATAATAGCTGAAGTTAATCAATTAAAGATGAAAATCAATGACAATAAAGACAAACCATAAACACAAATGATTTTGTGTCTAAGATAATAATTTTCCTTGCACAAGAAAAAAATTTTATTGACTTTTATCTTATCACACAAACATATAAAATGCAAACTATTGTTAGTTATTGTACCATTGATTATATTTTGTTTATATCTACACCATGTAAACATATAATTTTCATGCAAATGTATTCAGTGAAGGATGGTTTTAATATTGCACGTTTTTCGATACTCTTTTACACCAAAAACAAGTTTTTACTAATTAAATCAATACTATCTTGCACTGAAATAATTTCTTAATACTTTTTAATTATTGCATTTTGATATACAAAATATCTATTTGTTAAGTTCTTCAGAGAGACAAAGTCAGCCCAATTGTTACTTCGCTTATATAAATATTTTCATCTTTATCACTTTGAAAAACGTAAATTTATAATAAAACAATGGTACCTTTGCTAATTTTTTCAAGAAAAACTAAAAATTTGGCTGTCTTTGTCACTGACTGTTAAAAAGAAAGTCGTAAACTCCACAAGAAAATGACTTCATGATTGACGTTCATCATCGTGATAAACATTTGAACTATTGTCACTGAACACTCCAAACCGTATGAACAGGAAAAGTTAACAAACGTCAAAGAAAGTTTTGCAATATAGAGAGACAGAAAACAAACCACAATGTTGCGTATGGAAAGATTTTTAATGACAAATTTTTACTTTTAATGAAAAATCGATATCAAGTATTGTTAAAGTTTTAACACTTTTACTTTGTAAATCGATACTTTATGGGAATTATTTTTTAACAACAAAGTTTGATATGTTTATGACTTGTCTATAAAACTCCAACGTCTACTCCGAATTCAAACGATAATACAAGAAGGAGAAGCTTTATTTCAGAAAGTGTCTTAATGAAAGAAGTGACAAATTTATGTACCATGTTACTAACGTCGCCCAGGTCACGTGTTCATTGAGATGTCATCTGTTGTCAAAATTTGAAGATATGAACTTTTTTATTTTTAAAATGATGAAGCTGGCTGTTCACTTTGTTCACTTTTTATAAAACTGAAGCGGGAAAATTATCATCTCATGTGGACGTTTTGATGTGAACATAACCCATAAGTAATCAAAAAAGGTAATAAAAGAATTTTATTTTATTGCATTGTGGCTATTGGAGATGGCTAAAGGGATTTTTTTTGCTGCATCTATAATTGAAGCTGCTTCTTGATACAAACACACTGTCGTTGTGAATATTATGACACTTGATTGCCTTTGCGCATGCTCTGAAATATATATGTACTTGAGTGATACTATAACATTTGTGATATGAATTAAGATCTCAACAGCAACATGTTATGAAATTTCAAAGCAAACGTCAACTATGGATCGTTGTAGAATAAAAGTGATCAGTTTAGTTCATATAAATGGTCAGCAAATCATTCACAACAAAAGTAACTTCAACATATAAGAACTACATCAAGTTATGAGAACGAAAATTCGTGAAGAATTTCTACGTCTTTCGTTTTCAAGATGTCATATTTCTAAATCCACTATGTTTTATTTTTTATGTAGTGAACAATTTTAGATCATTAAACGGATTTCATATCGTTGTTTACATATCTACGTGTAGTGAATAGAAATCTTTCATAACAAGTTATTAATGGACATGTACTGTAAGAATTTCATATTAAGTACATATCTACTTATAGTTAATAACATCCCATAAACGGACATCTACCGTAAGCAGACATAAGGTCGTGGTCTCAAGAATATACGTTTACGAGTAGCTTGACTGTGTGCAGACTTTTCATTACTGTACTTTTTCTTTACGTTTCTAGATTTTTCTTTTGCTTTTTAAATTATAAATGCTAAATAAATGAATCCCAGATAACTCAACACCATTTTTTAGGCTAATTGTAATTTGCCAACTGCCATGTGAAGATTACTGGTGCTTTAGAATTAGCATTCAATAGTTGTATAATAACTTTTACTCACATTCAGCAACATTTGTTTGTAACTGTCATCTTGTAAAGAAAGTTAAAAATACCCACATTTTATCAAAACAGAACAATTGCAGTTGCCATTTAAAAGACTTGTTGGGATTCATTCATTTAGCGCTTATAAAAAATTATTTAGAGAGAAACTTTCTTTATGCTCAGTGTTTTGTTGAACTTTGTTTTTTAACGCATATCAACATAGTTTTATTAAATTAGTATGTTAATGTAGGAAATAATTGTTGTATAAATATGTTTTCTACAAAATTGTTACAATATATGTGTGTTGATCTATATATAGTGTCTTAAATAGTTTTCACATTTGTCCACTTCACCAAATGTATATTGAGACTCTCGGGAACTTAGGCTCACTATTTCCCGAGGGAGAGTACATTAAGTGTTTAGTTCTATAGGGAGAAAATCATAAATTTCAACAACTCTTCAATAAAATCAATGTCTTTCGGAGGGGGGAGGGGAAGTAGCCGGCAAAATTTCGTTGCAAAATGCTATGACTGACCTACAGCATTTTAGGTAGACTTCCGAACGTATTCTTAATTCTTTTTTATTAATAGTTGATCTTCGTCGCCTAATAAGCTCGAGAAACGTTTTTTCAGTTTTCAGCTTGGTGGCTGTTTTATTCGTAATGATATTAAAATGAGCAGGCAACAACTTTTCACTTCTTTTCCTGGCACGAAACCGTGCATTTATTTCAAGTCATGTGACTACTAATGAACCAATCGCAATTACTATACACAGCACCTATATAACAATACAACTAATTGAATAAATAGATATAATTCGAAAGTTGATTTGCCGATTTGAATGGTTTGCAGGATTCCAAATCTAAATCAAACGACTTTCATACACATCATTAGTCTCTTAGAATTTAGTGGGACATGGTTGTCAGGAACTAAATTTTCAGAACAAGTTGAATTTTATAATACTGTTTTGTGATATATCCTGTATTTGTTCCTTTTTGGGAACATCCCGTATAATGTATATATGTACGTAAAGAATGGTTTACAAGGTAAGATCATCAGCTACAATTACATCTTTTACACGTAGAATCATATCAATTTTCTTACACTAAAGTTGTAGCAAACAGATACTTTTATACTAAGGACTTAATAGTTTAATATGTAATTATGATTAATAAGAATCGGACATGTTGACAGTAGCTATATTCAGGGATGAAAGCTAGTGAGAAAACAACAAAAGAACGTAGATAGAACTTAAAAGTGTTTGATGTTACTAAGGCCTAATTCAAACGTCGAACTTTACATGAACCGAACGCATTTAAAACAAAAGATAACGAGGAAACTCATCTCATTTTCTTTTGTCTTTAATGCGTTCGGTGCATATAAAAGAAATAGAATGAGAATATACAGAACTGTCACTCGTGTCAGAACCTTTGATGTTTTTTTCCTCGCGCATATCGTCACGCGCATGATGGCCGACATAATTCCAGCCAATAGATTAGGGTTTTTAACTTTTTCCAAACGTTTAAAATGATCCGAAGTCATTTTTTAAGTAACGAGGACGCGTTGTACACCTGAGTGACCCTTCGTATAATCATTATTCTGTGACCATAAACTAGCTTCTATCTGATTTTCTCGTCGTGGAATGTTTGGGTGTCAAGGAGAAGCCCCTTCCTTTCAAATTTTGCTTCATTTCATTATGGGTTAGCCGTTAGCTGTTAGCATTTGATATACAAACATAAGATTGAGTTTATATGAAATGTAACATATTTGATGTTTCTTAAATTTGCCATGAGAGTTTTCCAAATATCGACAACCTCTTTACCATTCCCCCCGTATGTTTAAAGGTCAGTTAATTTTTCTCGTGTCATAGGCGTGTATGCTACTGGATTTACGGAAGTAAGGAGTCAAGGCTGTTATAGAGCGCGAAGCGCCCAGGGTGGTATATCGATTACGTACTCGTGTTTCGCGCACTTTTTCCAATAAGCGCTTTTCTT